ATCCAGTAATGAGTGACCCGGCAGTAAAACTAAACATATCTATAACTAGTTAGGTAGTTTGAGAGGTAATTAAAATAGCTACGTGTGATATTCTAACCTGAGGTGTGTGTTTTTGTTCCGCTCACCGCTGCATGTGATCATTCAGAGCTGCGTGTCGACTCGTCAGCAGCAGCTGATCTCTCTCTCCCGTCAGATTAGACTTAACTCGCGTTTATGTCCATATTGATCAGATCCAGCTAGTTCTAGCTAATGATATGACTACCTGCTTATCAAAAGACACCTAAACAATAAGCGTCGCTATGCAACCGGGTGAGGCCGCAAAGTATAGTGCAGCATTATGCATTTGTTTACATGTCCACCGGAACCCCGAGGCATTACCAACAGATCAACGCACAATCAACCCATACAGGACATCTCTTTCTCCACATTAATTGTTAGACATTAGAATTTACTATTCTTATCTGTCACATACTATTCTTGACTGTGACATACTCTTCTTGTCTGTCACATCAGTTGCGCAACTGATGCAGTATTGCGCTAAGGACAAATTATTTTGACCGGACACTTTGACCGGAGAGATTTAGATTTGCCGGTCTTCAGCATATTTGACCGGTCATATTCCGGTAATTACCGGCTAACGGGAACTCTGACACACACACTGTACCACACGCACCAACACACTGTACCACACACACACCTACAGCTCCTAAAGCAAATAATATATCAGGATACAGCCGTTGTGTATTTTATTATGTGAAGCATTAAATGGTTTTGGAAAAATATATATTATTTTTATATATATATATATATTTGTAGATATCTACTGAACTACAGCAAATAAAGAGAGTGGGCCTGTTATACTGAGTGATATATATCATACACATTGCTCTGCTTTCTGCACGGACCTCACAGCTGTTCTCACTGTAAACATCATGTCGCGATTCAAGCAGTTAATAAAATAATATCCAGGGGATGCATGCAGAGCTGTCATTGGCTGAGATAAGTCCGGTCTTGCGTCACAACTCTTTTAAACATCTCTGTTGCCGGAAATACATCCGCGGAGAATCCACGGATGACCCATCAATGTCTCCTCGGTTATAGCTCCTCCAGAGAGCCTGCTCGACGCTCGATTCTCGGTCCTCGAAGTGCATCTAGAGAAATTAGATGTCCTTCAACATGGCACGCTGAAATCCATTTCCGGGTCACTACCGGAGGACCGAGGAGTTGAGGAGGGGAAATTAGAGAAATAAGAAAGGCCCATTGTCTACCTGGATGGCTGTACGATAAAAGTGTAAAGTTAGAAAAACCTAGAAAGCAGAGATTTCACACAACTGCCAAGGCTGATTAATATTGCACACATATTTTATTTTAATAATATTATTTATATATATATATATATATATAGGATCCAAACTGTTGTTATGACAAAAACTATTGTTGTAACTCTAAACCAGTTTACAATTGGAGATTGGTATAACGATGGAGAACATGCTTCACAGAAACAACAGTGAGATGATTTCATTTAAGGCTTTACAGAGAATTAGAGAGCACATATTATATACAAAAACGCTGGTGAAAACAGAACACACATACACTTTGTTTTGATCGGTTGCTAGTTAGTAAGGAAGCATCCTTTTGTATTTGGATGTTGACATACAACAGATGTATATACAGCGCAAACAGTCCTCTCCTTGCTGATTTTGGATCTAATGTGTTTGCACTTTTATCTCAAAGGAATTTGAGTAATAACAGGATCAGCGTCCTCGAGCCTGGTTGCTTTGAAAACATCTCCAGCTCCCTGCTGGTGCTGAAGCTGAACAGGAACCGATTGGCTATGCTGCCATCCAAAGTCTTCAAACTTCCACTGCTTCAGTTCCTGTAAGTATTGCACAATGTGTTTTGGTGCAACATTCAAATGATTTGTCAATCTGATAGTTGATAGTAGTTTGCTGAAATTACTGCAAATCCAAACAAAAATAATCCATTGGCTCTTATTTGTTTCGTAAAACTACTTTGCTAAAGGAATCTGCTTCTTCCTCTCATTGTAGTGAACTGAAGCGTAACAAGATCAAGATAGTGGACAGTCTGACTTTCAAAGGGATGGACTCACTGAAGTCACTGAAGATGCAGAGGAACAGCATCACCAAGCTCATGGATGGAGCCTTTTTTGGACTTAACAACATTGAAGAACTGTGAGTACAATAAACAGTGTACATCTTCAATTGTGGAAGAATAACATGTAAAACGTTTTTAAATAGATATATTGGTCTGTAAATGTAAAAGGTGAATTTTGTCGGGGGAAACACATTTAAGGAGAAAACCTCACAATTTATTCAGTATCTTCCGCATCTTGTGGACCCATCATGTTAAGAATTACACAAAAGATCCCACACTGTATTAAAAGCTTCCGCCAATTTTACATAAGATAAGATGTACTTTATCAAATTGGGAATGTGCCATGTTTTGAGATAACAGAGATTTGCCGCACCGTGAGCATCATCATTAACATCCACATAGATCCATCTTTTCTTTCTTTTTTTATATTTGATCACATTATAATTTTCATCATTTGGATTATCTTTGTTATACATTTGTTTACCTTTTACATTTGTACACAACATTTATTGCTCTTCTGTCCAACCTGGGAGACGGATCTCACTGTGGATCTCCCAGATGTTTCTTACATTTTCTACCCATTAATTGTGGAATTACTCTTGGAGTTTTCTCTTGTCCTCTGCTATAAATGTGCCACTTGTGATATTGGGTAATACACATTTCATTTGATTGATTGAGGTTTGTCAGGCACTGTCAAAACCTCATCACAAAGCAGAAACACATTTTTGTTAGCCATGATAAATCTGCCATATTTGCACATAAATAAAAACGATTGATGTAAATACAGTTCTTTGTGCTAATGCCATTTTGTTTTGCCCATCTGCGTCTCAGAGAGCTGGAGCACAACAACCTCACGGAGGTCAACAAAGGCTGGCTGTATGGACTGCGCATGCTGCGTATCCTGCGGGTCAGCCAGAATACTGTCGGCATCATCCGACCAGACGCCTGGGAGTTCTGCCAAAAACTGGAGGAACTGTGAGTGTGTTTGCTTCAGAGCTAAAATCCCCACGCAGCTAAGAGTCCCCACTTTCTTTCATCAGCCCTGGGCTCTGAAATTAATTCTGTATGCTCAGAGGACTTACTGTTATCTTGCTGTCTGAAGCTGGTTTAGTGCCGTCTTGCCTCCGGTGAATGTACCCAATCGTGAAATTGTGTCGCATCATTCTTGAATTTGAAGTAACATTATTATTATTAAATATAGATTATATAAGGGGTAAAAACTGTTGTTTAAATTGTTGCTTTAATAATATTTCTCATATTTATGTTTGTTTTGCACAGAGACCTGTCCTTCAATCATTTGACTCGACTTGAAGAGACAGCTTTTGTGGGATTAGGTCTCCTGGACAGCCTGAATCTCGGGGAAAACTCCATCAGCCATTTGGGAGAGGGAGTTTTCAGCGGCCTGACGAGTCTGCGCACCCTGTAAGTTCTACGTCTCAAATAAATCTGTGTCTTTTTAAAGCTGATCTAACAAGTGTTATTAGGCGCATTGTGTAAAATCTAACCCTCCTGACATGTTCTTGGCTCTTTGCATTCTCATGAAGGCTGCTGACTACAGTAGGTCTGCGTTTGTTTCACTCTCCATGTGTAGCTCTAGTCCTGTACATTTCCCTAGTTATCCTTTGTAGTTTAGAGACACAAAAGTAGAAAAGTATTTTGAGTTCTTGCATTCTGGTCCTGCTTGTCATTAGTCATATGTTTAGTCTTACATCAAACCACCCAAATGTGTCCTTTTCTCTTGGTTTTATGTCATCTGTGCTGCCATTCACTGTGGGGAAACACAACAAACTGAATATTTGAGGCAACATAATGTTAGTGCTGAGTCCATGTAAACCATATACTGTAGCAGAAGTGAGAGTAGACTTTTCTCCACTGCAGCTTAACGAGAGGCCGATAGATGAAGGGTCATATAATATTTTGTCAGTATATGTAGAGAGATATTGCCTGGTCCAGGCTTTAAGTTGGTTTGCTTTTAAATATTTCATACAGTAGGGATGAATAATATCAATACATTATATGCTCAATATTTCAGTGTCTTCTGAGCATATCAACAAATATCTCTGCAGCCTGGTTTTGAAATCTTCTTTCTTGACTGATGACTACCATTAATCCTAGTGCACTGCTCCGTTTATAAATACAATTGGAGTTATCTGTTAGAAAAGGCCCTCTTATATTAATGCAGCAAATATTGGGTTGAATGTACGGCTGCACAATTAGGAAAAAATAACTCTTGCGATTCTGATATTGACAACTGATATTGAAAATATATGTATTTTTACTGTAATAATGTAACATTTTTACATTATTATTCTCATTATCATTAAAACATTAATTGGATCTGTCCGTAGTAAATGATTTCTAGGTTGGTATATCTCTGAAGCTCCACAATACTTCATTCAAAATAGTATTATTACACATATTTATTGGAATATTGCACTAGTCCATAGTGCAATATTCATTACAGTTTTGATTAATTGTGTAGCTCTATTCAACAGTGGTATAAATCTGCTTCCTTTATCCGCTTTGGATCTTTACCATCCGGGGAGCTTTCATGGAAGAGGGGCATCACAGAGTACTGAAGTTCTTTCAGAGGTGGCCAGGCATGAGGAAATAGAAACAAAAGAGCCCATGACCCATCCTGTAACACAACGTCTCTCTGTGTTTCCAGCGGACCCATGAACTGTCCCAGCGCTAAACAGAGCCAATTAATTTCCCCACATCAGAACAGCAGGGGCAGTGAGCTGTGACACACTGGAAGCATGGAGTCTCAGATTGTTAGTCCTCTAGCTGAGTCATTGCCACTGACAACCACAGTGGAGGCTTTACACTCTGTGTTGTTCCAGGAGGAGCCCTCACATCTAAAGTGTTTTAAAATCTAAAATGACTCTTTTTCCTTCAGTGATATCCGCAATAATGAAATCTCCTGGGCCATAGAAGACTCCATTGGTGTGTTTGTTGGGATGAAGAAGCTGAACTCACTGTAAGGATGCTCAGATTATACACGTATCAAAACCATTTTCATTTAAAACACATTTTATTGCATTTAGACAAATAAAGCATGTGCATCTTTAATTATTTCAATCAGGAGAGACTTCATTTTGTTTAAAGAACATTTATTGACACATATGATAAATGTTAAGTCTTTGGTGATTAGACCCCGATCCTGAAATCGTATATCTAATGGGGGAAATGCAGCCATGAGCATATAGGGAACCCCCCGGGGTCTAGACACTGGTGATGATGCTGAAGATCTGGATTTGATGAGGAGATGGGATGAGGTTTTTGGATTAGCTCTCCTGGCACTGGATGTGATGAAAGGAGGTGGCATGAACACCTGAAATGACAGCTGACTGCAGGAGAGATGAGAACCATTTTAAAGTTTGGCTGCAGCACGATGATTGGCTACTGAGATTGAGGTGAATTTAATAGGTAGCA